CATGGGAATGGAGCTCCATAGTGGGGGAAAGGAACTGGCTAGCTCCCCTGGTGAACCAGGTGTTAGCTGGGTTACAGTAACCAGAGTGTCCTACTGGACTGACACGTTTACTGATTGGCCAGCTAACGCTAGCTTCAGACTGGAGGCTACAGTTTGTAGTTTGTCCCACCCAGGCATCCGTAGTTTATGTTGTCACTAGGAAACGGGTTGTGATGGGAGGTTTGTTTTGACTCTCACTGGCCCCTCGACACTGAAAATACATTAGGTAGAGGCCTTAGAAGATGTTTGTTATTTTTAATGATAAACACGATTGAGGTCACAGGTCAATCCTGGTCATGGTTAACATAAAGTCTGACACTAGACAGGAAGTGGGAAACAAGCAGCGGCTTGTCATGATATCACATGACTGACGCTGTGTCAACAGAAATGTGACTTAACAACAAACTGTCACTACGGGCCATTAAGCTGTTTGTGCAGATGATCAGCTGGGTTGTCATCTCGCTGCCTCATTAATCAGGAATGCAGATGTCTTTGTAGTAGCAGCCCAGGTTATGGCAGTATTCCCCCAGGATTCTTCTGCTGCCTAATATAGCAGAAATCCCACCGTATGAATTCAGCTGAGCGTCTGGGAATCCTGAACGTCTTGACTGGTTTTCTGTGTGAGGCGGCTTCCTCTGCTTCCTGCCAACTGGACGTCTCTGCACGTTTCCTGCATGTCAGTGTTGTGTCTGTTTTCTGGCCAGATTGATTTTCTCTGCACCACTATCAACAGGCCATCACATGGCAGACATGTGAGGTTCATGTGAGGATGTTGGGTTGGAGCAGCTGCCCCTCGGTTCCCAGACGATCTGTTTATTGCCCTGCAGTGAGATGCTGTGCTGCCTCCATGCTGGCGCTGAAAGGACAAAGGCAATAATATATTTAGGAGTGACCCAGTTTTAAAGGGTGCCTGCAGGGGGGAGTGCTGGTTCCTGCAGGATGACTTCCCACATTTGTCTGTTTCCTTGGTTTATTTGCTTTTTAATGCAAACAGAATAATAAACGAGAAAGACCAACTCTTCTGGTTCATGTACTGGACTAGACGTCCTGGTCCTGCTGGACTGTGGGGACTACTGAGTCCTCTGTGTCACCTGGAGGAGGCCAAACAGTTTCTGTGTACTCGAAGTATGGAGGGAGGTTAGATCAGCTACATACTACATACCAACTCTTTAATGATTAAAACCACATTGAAAATCTGCAAAGCTCTTTGAAAGAAGTGCTGTATGTGCGTCTGGAAGGATTTTCGCAGGTTAATGAGATTCAGAATAAGAAACAGGGTGCAATCCTGTGGAAGCAGAACGGCTTCAGAGCCGTCACCCCAACTCTCTGCCAGCCCACTACTCCACCCTTCAGACCGAATGTAGGCTGTCAGCTCAGAGTAGTAACTTGTGACCCATTTGCACATCAGCAACTCAGTTTGAGTCGCCTCTGCTGTGAGAAACCACTGGAAACATTTTGCCTGGTGGCCACATCCTCAGTTCCAGTCCCCGCAGACTCCCACATACTGTAATGCTGTTTCGGAGTTGAGCTGTTCCTCCAGAGAGAGCCCAGGGCGCTACCCGGCCCATTTACACAAGGAGCTCAAATCCCAGAGATGGCTATTCTGGGTTGTGCCCCCACGGAGGCCGAGTTCTCGACCTGATTTGAACTTCAGAAATGAAATGTTTCCATTTTCAGGACTGACATCCTGAATTTCTCACTGCTGAGAACAGCACGAGGAAATGGATCATGTTTCTGCTTGATCAGATCACGGCCGGTTGGTGTTTCAGATCTTAAATGTATTATAATGGCTGCATGAAAAGGCGGTGACCATCAGGGAGCCAGTCTGACTACAACAGTAACAACAGGTGTTATTCACCAGCATCTTCCTACGTGTTCACTCAAACTTCTTCAGAAAGGTTCTGAGAAAAGTCTGGTTCAGGAACCTGTTCTTGTATTGACAAGTCCCATGTGCTCCTAAGTTGAAAGCGCGTGCCAGTCGTTTCCAATTAGCATAGGTTAACGCCCCGCCGATGCCCATAAAAGGGCATGAGACTACAGGGCCGCGTGCACACGCCTCACACAGAAATAGAAAACCAGGAAAGGGATTCTAAACACGGCGGAGCAACGAACTCCAGACCAAAGCGGAGGACAGCAGTGGACATAAAGCCAGACGGCGCACGGGATGCTCTGACTCGTCCAGTGAACACCGCGGAAGAAGGACGCACAGCTGATGAGGTAAAAAGATGCGCGAACCCAAATGTGGGGCAACAAAACAGAAGAGAGACGCTGACCGGTGGAGGAGGACAGTGGGTCGGGGCCGTGCACGGCCCTATGGGTGGCCCGTCAGCTGAGCACACCTCAATGTGGGCCCCCAGGGCCCCTCACCCGCCCCGAGTCTGGTCTCAGATAACGGACACACTGGTCACAGTAACCAAGAGACACGTAAAGAAATGAACAGAAATTAGAAATAAAGATTTGCACATAAATGTGTTTGGTTTTAAGTAACGCGGTTCCTATACTCAGACTGTAACAACTAAATTAATTTTTAAAACGTTGTTATAAACAAGCAGTTAATTACTTGCTGCAATTTTTAGTGTTTATTAGTTTCAAAAGACCATAATGCTTTGCAAGGAACTACTAAATAACAAAACGGTTATTGTTATTTAAATCTTATGTTATATAACTGTAGAACTGAAGAGAAGCAAATAGCCATTCATTTCACACAAATGTCAGAACCCAAACGTGCGTGCGTAGATGTTCTTAGCCAAGAACAAATCCCAGATAAGAAAACGCTGATGAATCTCCGCGAAAACTTCGTCAGTGGCTTTGAACGAATTTGTTCACTGTTGGTGAACGAGGCCCATGTTCCTGCTTCTCACTATTCGAACTATAATGAATTCATCCCTACCGACCAGTTCCTATTTACCAACGCTGCAACATGCAAAAGCAGGGCTTCTTCTGCAGGAAGGTTTTAATGATCCTGACATCCTGTGCAGAGTCTTTGCCGTCCAACATTGTGTGTGTTTGGAACCACGAGATAAAGTCATAATGTTTCAGGCCACTCACACAGAAGAAGTGTTATCAGTGCCTAGACACTTCTTTGCTTCCAGAGCAAATTCATGTCTCATCACTTCTAATTCTGTTTCCGTTCACTTTGTATTCTATTAAAGACACGTTGACGTTAAAGGACAGGCTGGATTTCTGGGAGGAGGCTCGTTAGGCCTTCTGTGTCACTGGAGGTCTGATGAGATAATGAGGCTCAGCTGGTACATCCAATGTTCCACGTGCTGGCTTTGTCACCGGACTGTATATTATAGTATCTTCTTTAAATTCTGTTTATAAAGGCAGATGATGAGGGGGAATTTCATCCGCAAAAACTTCCAAGTTTACGCCTTTTTTAACAGGAACTTGCTGAGGCTTCTGGGTAGTGAAGTCTTTTTTTAATATAACTGGAAACCCGTGGACTGGTGGAAATAAATATCCTCCTGCAAAATGAAAAATAGGTGCATGAATGAAGTCCCTCCACGACCCCTGCTGGTCCTCGACCACCACTTTGGACCCCACTCAACCAGATCACATGTTGTCAGTATTTAAATCCGGTCTGACTCGCATCCTGTGAAAAGCGAGTCTTGTTCTCCGTGTGCATGTTGTTAGTTCAGTGATAGATGCTGACAGAATACTGAATGAATTTTTAAAAGGGTTTAGGCTATTAGACGAGCTCCAGATCCCGCGGGATTTCTTCCATCTCGCAGGCTTCCCTCCATACATTTTTAATGAGCCGCTCGCCTGAATTCTTCCCTGCTCGTGTTTCTTCCTACATGCGATATTTGCCTCTCTTGTGCATTTTCCAGGAATTATTCTGTGTCTGATGCTTTATAATTTTTTTTATTTTAAATTTTAAAGGCCCAGCTTCTAATAGTAGGCTGTTTTATTCCCCCGTTTTTACATTATCTGTAATTCACCAATTTTCCACAGATAAATACAAAGAGAAAAATTTTGAGGATTTAAAAAGTACGTTCTAACGAAAACTAGATAAAATCCTTGTGTTTTTACCCGTATTTCGGTCAAATCGCTGTTGTTTTCGTGTGGGGGCAGGCCATATGGTGGAGTAAAACAGTAACTGAGGTTATGGTTTTGAACTGGAATCTCTATAAGACATTTAAATTATTAATTATTAGACCAGTTCTGTCTTTGAGAGAGAAGTGCAGCCTACTTATTGGTTTACAGGAAATACAGCCATCAATAACGACGGAGCTAAAAATAGCCCAACATCTCATTAATATCTCCAAACACTTTCACTTAATAGTTTCTGCGTCAGGAGCGATTCTTTTTACGCTTCCCATCAGAAGTGAAATAGTGACGAAGGCAAACAGAAGGCGTCCCACCTCCCATCCTTCCTATTTTTCATTCTTTTATTCACTTGGCCTGAGAGGAGCTGCCTGGCAGCCGCTTTCTCCATCACTTCACATCGCATCCATATTCATGCAGCAACATGCGTTTCCCCCGGGAACGCACGCGCACGCACGCAAACTGCAGCTCTGATAAAAATCTGCAAGCGCTTTATTAAACCATAACGAAATTACACGACTATAGTATTAAAAACACAAAAACTATGCCGCATGAAAAGAATATTCCAGCAAAAAGGCATGAAAAAAACTTTAAAATACAAAAACGCGGTTTTTATCAGTGGCCTGGAAATGTTCCAGACATATTGTGTAAACAGTAAAGGGTGGGCGACATGACACATAAGGCTCTGAGGAGTTCTAACAGGACTGTTGTTAAAATGCCTGTAGGCCTAGAAACAAATTATAAGAAAATGCAATCAGTTAAAATGGCGGGTCCAAACGGTTCTGGTTAAATACAAGAAAACAATAAAATCAATTTAAAAAATAGGCTACTAAAGGAAAAGTTTAAAAATCACAAAAGTCTTTTTATGCAAATATTTTAAGATCATTTGGTTTAATATTTCCTCCTGGAGGATTGCAACTACATCTTGCATCCTGTTCATCTTAAATATCACAAAGACTTTGTGTTTTAAAATCAAATGAAGGTGGCTTTGAAGGTCTTGCCATCTTGGATTATCCTTAGACAGAAGAGTGAACCTCTCATATCCTCCTCCTCTTCATCAACATGAACCCACTGTGTGAGGAGTCATCACCGATGCACAAACTAAACTCAGTAGATAAAACCACAATTTTATCCCCCGATCAAAATGACAGCACACTTCTTTTCAAACATGAGTCCATTTATTTAATACTCTTTATTATTTTAGCAATCTTTATTTTTATTTTTTAAATATCTCTGTAGGCCTATAATCTGTAAAGTATTCATCTTTAATTTGTTAAAACTGTCTGGGATAAACTATTTATCTTATAATAGAACTTTTTATTTTCTCAGACTCATTCTGATATACATATTCTTTTGTTAGATTTTTGGAATAAGTCAATTTTTAAGTTCTTTTTGTTGTACAACATCCCTGTAAACAAACAAAGAGACAAACCAACCAACCAACAAACAGAAATATACATTTTTTTGTCAGAAGGCAGTGGAAACAACTGTACCTCAGCAAATAAACAATCTGAATTTAATTTACTGTATTTATGTAGTTTATAATGCTACTGTACCATTGGGACTCAGCTTTTTAATCTAACATACAGACCTAAAATATATCGCCTCTAAGGTCATCTAGTATGAATCACTGGCGCATGGAAATGGGGTTTGTGCTTAATGGCAACAGTCATATCACCCTTTAACTTTTTTTTAGCTACACTGGCTATGACGTCACATCTTTATATTGCTGTATGTTTGTCAAAAACTTTTTATTTCCTTCAGTAATTGATTTGCACACAGATTCACTCATTCAATATTCACTCATGGTTCAGCTGAGCAGGGATGTGGCAGGACAGAAGGATGTTAGGAAATCCACCACTGACGTGAACTAAAGTCGATTTTGTGTTTCTACTTTCACGTCAAAAGTGACCATGAGATTTCAGGAAATAAGCACATTGTCTGAAGACACAAATAGATTCAAGCAAGAAAAGACAGAAATGCTTGTCCACACCTGTTGTGGTTTACTTCATTAAAAATTTCACTTAAACTCTGATGGCTTGGGTTTAAATGCCAGAATGTGGTCCTGAAGAAGACGTTTGTATTGTTTAAATATATAAAAGATAAATCAAACTCTTTGAGATCATTAGCAGCATTTGCTTTGTGCTAACTTTTAGCTAACGGCTAAACTGACCTGTTAGTTAACTTAACCCAATCTGATCTGGCGTGTAATCCATCCATTTGCATAATTCATGTTATAAACGCTAAACTGGCGCTAACCAGACTTGACATGTTCTAGCTACTAAACAAATGCTTTGCTAACCTGACACGGTGTCATTCAGCTGCCAACCCACACGGTGTCTGATTTATTGTTAACCGGCCTAACCTATTCTGGTGCAGTTGCTAAATTAAACTCTTAGCTAACCCAACTGGTTTTGTTTTAACTGCTTAATCAAACCTTTCTAGTAGCCAAACTCTTAGCTAACCTATCTCAGTCTGTTTTAGCTGCTAAACTAAACTATTAGCAGCTACATCCCATGTGACATTAGCTAACTGAACCATTTTTGCTAACTGTTTAATTTGAATTATGAGCTACCCTTCATCAGATTGATTTAGCTACTAAACTAGAATGTTAGCTAACTTGAGGCAAACAACTGTTAGTGGTAAACAGTATGAGCAACTTTCTGACAGTGCAGAATCTACTGCAGAAGATCACAAAATGTTTCTAGTAAAAGGTTCTGGCTCAGTATACACCTGGATCCATGGCCCATGTCTGACCCATATACTTGTAGGGCCCCTCTCGGCTATTATCCTCCAGTGGAAGATTTTCTACCTGCGCGCCAGAAATGGCCCAGGTGTAGAAGTAGCATCAGACAGTCGTGCTGTATGTGGGCTGAGCAACCAGGTGTAGAGAAACAAAACTTGAGGCCCAAATATTGACCTGAATTATATTGCTATCTGTTAAAAAATCCCATGAGTCTGGACTACAGCAGCTCTTGAGCCAATTAAACAATTTTCATAGGTGGAAATCTGTAACAAACAACCCATGGTACCAGAAGTGGGAAACTGCCATGTCTACTTCCTTGCTGCTGTTCCTTATTCCTTTCCCTCACCAGCAGTAATCAACATATCAGAGTTTGTGCTCATTTCCTGAAATGTTTAGAGACTGTCTGAACTGGCTTCATGCAGTTTAACATCAGTCTAAGCTCTTTTTTATTGGAAAGCAGGCTTTACACCCCCAACTACATCCCTGCACCTCAGAGCGCAGTGGGGATAAATAAGGCTACGAGCACACCAGAACCTGCCAGGGTGAGATTTCTCAGTGTGGCATCGATTTTATAAGTGGTAGCTAGCAGAGTAGCAAGCTAGCTTGCTCAGCAACCAAAAGTAAAACACTATTAATTTAGAACACTTTCAGCAGGCTAATGATTGACTGCAAGCTGTGCTACATGGGTCCACGGTCTGTACTGTCGAATCATCCTGTAAACATGGAGCTGTATAAGAGGATACTGTACAGAACTGACTCTGCCACAGCTGTGACAGCACCAGTGAAATGAATTAAACTTTGTGCAAAATGATGATGAAAGCTGGTGTGACCATGGTCTGTACACAATAAACAGCCAATGAGAATACAAATATTACATCACCATCAAACCTACCAGGCCCAACAGGGTCAACTTGGTGCAGTAAAAAAGGGAAAACTGTCCGTAATGAAAATGAGGCGACCGGCCTGAAATGGGCTCTAGTCCTCAGCTTGTCTTACTGATTTTGTGGATTTAAGCTTAGCCTCACATTACACAAGTGTGCCTTAGGCTATATGGGACCCTAGCCTGGTAGTGTGTCAGCAGCCAGCAGTCACACAGTGCTGTCTAGACCTAGCCTACTAAACATCAATAATTCATGGTTGACTTTAATACTGTGTAATTCCACAATTATAAGCAGGCAAGGATCCATCCAATTTTTATCATTGTCATCATTTCAGATCAACGGCGTGTTGAATATTTCATGTTATCAACCTCTGGGTCAGGTCAGCCTGTGATTGGATGGGCGCTGCAGTAAGATGTTCTGCAGGTGCCTGAGGGGACGATGCCGCTGCACGGCCGTGTCGTAGTAAAAATCCATTCTGGGTGTAATTTTCTGGTGATGAATTCAAACTCAATCCTTGATGTTGTATTTTCAGTATGTATTCTTTTTTTCCATTTGAGTTTTTCCTTTTTTTCCATTTGTGTGTTTTCCTTGTTTCTGTTAAAACGCCAGCCAAGTCAGTATGGTGGGCAGTGTGGTGAGGGCCAAGGCCAGGCCTCTGGCGTCAGCAGATCTGGGGGCTCCGTTTCCACCGCTACAGAGTTCAAACAAACTCCCACGGAAATCCAGGTTGCGGGACTCCTTTTTCAGTTTCTCCCAGAGGTCCGTCGCTCCCTCCTGGCAGTCAGCCAGCGCCGTCGTGGCACAGGAGTGGAAGTCATCCCAGTAACTGGCAGGAGAAAACACAGCAAGCATTAACACCACAAGCTATGACTGTAGTGGGAGGCTGGTTTTAGACTCAGATACTCAGGAGCCAGAGCCAAGAGTGGAAGTCATCCCAGAATCTGGCACCACAGAAAACACAGTGAGCAGAAGACATAGGTGGTGAAGTTTATATAGCCAGCAAAACAAAACTAAAGTATGGTGAAGCCTCTGACCACATGACTGTGCTGGCTTTTCATGAAGTGTCCAGTGAATCTATTCAGTGAGGAACGAGTGCAGAATGCGGGTGACTAAGACTAGGACAAGGTCACCGTCCCTGTGTAAGTGGTAGAACACAATCCAGAGCTACCTGAAACAATTGTCAGTGCACGGCCTTTGTTAGTTTTCTGTTTGGTCTGCTCATGTTAAATTAACCTGATGTTGTTCATCAGCCTCATGGCAGCAAAACACACTTAACAGTTTCACATTCTCTTGATTCATGTCCATCTGTTTGTGCCATCTAACTTCTCTGTCATTCCAGATCTGTGGCACAACACAAGTGGGTACATCCACAGGTACACATATTCGGTATACTGCCCACCTTTGTTTTACTTCCTCTCATGCTCTTGCTGGTTTAATGTTTTATTCATAGTGAAGCATAACCTCCCACTTTTTCTTCTTTGAACTCATTATTCCTTCCTTTGTCCTCTTTTTGTTTGATTATTATTTTCTGTTTTCTCTGCTTTATTTCTCCTCTTTGTCTATCCATGCTCCGCTCTCCCTCTTTTCATTCTCCTCCCAGTTGGTGTAAAGATAACACAGCCTGCTCGGTGACGCCTGCTGCGGCACAAACACACCACGTATCTAATCCAATCCTCCAATCTGCCCTTATTGATGTTGACCCCCTGAACCAAGCCTTGTCAAAGCTATATCTCTGAGCAATTAATGTGGGTGTGTGCATGTGTGCAGGCATATTAACGCGCTCCTCCTGCCACGCCTCGACACCACTGTGATGGAGTTGTCACTGAATTAAAAAATCATGGGTGTGCACGGAGGGGTGGGGGCTTCTTGCTGCAGTGTGCCATCTGGTGCCACCCGGCATAGATGGTGGGATGAGTGGTGGGTGGGATGAGTGGTGGGTGGGGGAGGTGGGTGTCAGATGGCTAGCAAGTCCCCTGCCTTGCACATATGCACACCCCCCCTCAAACCTCAGTTTTCCCCTCAGGGCTTGCAGTTAAAATACTCATATTATCTTTTGTTGGATCAGTCCTGCAACAAATGCTGATTTAGTGAAATGTGGATTGTTGACACCTTGACTGAACTTTGTAAAGGCAGCGTTAGTTTGGATTCAGGTGTGGACCTAGTAGTTTAAGAGCCATGGGCAACAATGGGCCCCTGGATCTGACCTCCAACTCTTATCCGTCTATATTGAAATAAATTTAATGTTGCAACAAATTGAACTAAAAGTGGATGGATGGATTTTCTTTTGCTAAAATAAGAGGTACACTTCTATTTTTCTAAATTAGTTTATAGTGGTTTTGCAGAAACTGTTGGAAAGGCCATTCATGGGAAAGGACATGCTTCAAGAGTATGTCTGTATCATTTTCAGGCCCCTGCTTCAGTCCACCCGCATCTCATGGTAAGACCATCTGTGACATGATATTGTAGAGTGATGCTGCTGATAACATCATAACATGCCCCCCCGACCCCCCGTGAAGGTGTTCGTGTTTGTGCAGGAAACGCACGTGCAGATCTTGTGCAGGTTGTCGCTGTCATCCAGGCCCTGGGGATAGTTGGCCATATTCTCCCCCAGCTGAAGCAGGCAGTCTGAGAAGCCTTTGAACACCGAGTCACACTGACCAGCACTGACCAGCACCGTCTGCAACACAGATACTGGGGGGGCAGGAGGAAGAGGCGGAGCAAAGAAAGTAAAGAGGAAGGTAAGGAAAGAGGGAGAGATGGGAGATGGAAAGAGATGATGGGTAATGAGGAGGGAAGAGAAAAAAGGATAAATGTACATTAAAGAACCGTGGGTCACCTTTAGTATCTGTTTTCAACCAGATATCAGGACTTTACCTTCATCGTTCATAATTCATTGATCAGTTTTCTCCAACTTTAAACCATCAATGTTGTTTGATTTTGTGAGAGGCTGTTTCAGTATGTTACTTTGATTAGTTGTCTCCTATCAGGCATTATTGGTGCTAGCATTGTCCAAATCTATAGGAATACTTTGAGTATTTATTTTATTTCAGTGTTTTATGTCAGACTGTCTCAGTTTACAACCACACCACACATGTCAGTCATGTTCTCTGCAGCAACGTGTTAATTTAATTAGCAGGCAGATCATCTACACAGAGGCTGGCTGAGAGAGGCCATCACCAAAATTCTGTTTGTGGGATTACTGAGAACCGTGGGTAATACAATGATGTGTCGATATTTAAAATTCAGGTTGAAACTTTTCAAACTGCTCCAGCTGCCCCGCAGCTCTGTACGTAGCAGAGTGCAGTTCAGCAGCAGCACAAACCACAGCCTCCATCGACACCTCCTGGAAACATCTGGAGGAAAATGTGGACATTAGTACATTCATGGATGGTGTTGACTGCAGGGCTGTGGGATCAGACTGCACAGTACCTAAATATGCCTAATAAACTGACAACTCAGTGCAGGTCTGGTCTGCTTTGTTCTTATTGCTGTACAAATTTAGTCAGTGTGACTTTATCACACGTCGACTACTGTTCCATTTATGAAAAAAGGATAATGGGTAATCCACTTGAAACCCACAGAAATTCTCCTGCAGGTTAAATGTTTCCAAAAGGCATGAGTGGCTTCTGTACATTTGACACGTGAACATGATAAAACATGAAACGTTCCTGTGGTGTTTCCTTGTCAGGTTTGGACTGAATAATTTTGTTGAGAAGCTGAACTGACAACATCTCACATGTTGGTTGCAAAGTGACGTGCTAATATATTCAGATTTCTGTGCACATGAGAGGGAGGTGTGTGTGTGTAATGAGGCTGTGTCTGTCACCTCCCTAATTCACTTTAACAAAGAGAAAATCCAACTATAAAACCCTCCACGGGTTGCCAGGTCTGGCACGCCTCCACCTCCCCCTCCCCCTCTCAGCTGCTCACACACACACTTTAACATGACCTCTGGGCACTCAGTGTGTGTGTGTGTGTGTGTGTGTGCGTGCATGGTTCGTTAGGCAGGCGATCAGCCTGATTGATTGGTTTGGATAATAACACGCCTGCTGTCCGGTTCCACTCAGTCAAACCGAGGACTAACACAGCATGACGTGTAGGATGAGACACGGCTGTTAGAGCAAGACCAGGGAGGAATCTGTTCGCCCAGACAGCTACTGCAGAATCTCTGTCTGCTGAAAGTCTGTCACTGACCTGAACGCAGCATCTAAACCAGGTCTACATCCACGAGCAATGTGCACTTCACATCACATCCTCCAAAAGCCGCTGGAGCTGTTCACTGTTCACTGTTTTCCACCCAGCACAGTCTAATCACTGGAAAGTTCCACTGTGAAGATGCACGTGTGGGAAAATACCAGAGAACTGGACCCAGAGTAAGAGGCTCAGTAATGTCCATGGCAGGACAATGTCTGTCTCAGGTTTGCTACTATTAGCTGGAGTTAGAAGAGTTGGGACAGTGAGGGGTCAAAAACAACAGCAGGTCATGTGACTGGTGAGCTTCAGACACTTCCAAACAGTCTATCCATTGTTTTCTGTAGGGAACGGCAGCATTTGGCAGAGGATTACTATTTTTACTGACTTGCACAGCCTCGCAGACTCCTTCTGTTCTGTTGTTGTAGCTAGCTCAGCTAATTGATCTAGTTAGCTCGGTACCTAATAGTTATTTGAGAGAGACAATGAAAAAGTTTGTAAAACATGTTTTGACAGGTCGCTAACTTAAAATGCCACAAGTTTAACTATTGCTTTTGATTTCAGCTTCTTACTTTGGAAAATAGCAGCCAAGTCAATGTAACTTTATGGGCTGCTGCTGATGTTTGGAACTATTTGATGTCCCCATGATACGCCCTTACTGTAAGGCGTGTCGGTCTGTAAAAGGCTTCAGAGAAGGACGCTCTGGTGTGTCCTCACTTATGGCTCCTTGCTTGACCAGAACGACTTCCAGGTCGAGCAAGGAGCGAAGAAGGCGTGTGTTTAATGTTAGTGCATGACCTAGTCTCTGGAGTGCATTCAGTTTGCTGCTGCAACATTCTGAATATAATGTTAATGGTGAGTATATGAGTCCCCAGACATGAGGGTGAAGGCCACAGCCTCGCAGTCCTAATGAACTTTACAAATACATGTCTTCTTGTGTGGTTTACTGGTCTCCACAAACACAGAACAGCTCTAAGCTGCTCCCTTAACAAATGAAGCACTGGCCCAAACCAAACCGACCTGCGACCATTTCATAACTGGTGTTTGTTTATGTTTGTTGCTGAGACAATAGAGCCCGGTGTGCGTGCCGCTGACAGGCTCCTATGGGACATTTTGTAGGTGAAGAACAAACAAAATATATTGTTGTGGAGGTTGAAGCACTTGTTTCATAAACAAGACCAGAGGCGTGAGAGTCAGCAGCTGCTCATTCAGTTTTCTTTCTTCATTTCATTTCCTCAGCAGTGTGTCGCAGTGGGGATTGTTCACCGCCGTTATATCAACCAGCAAAGCTCAGCCGAGCTTCCTGTTTGTGGGCAGGTAAACACCTGAGCAGGTGCAGCGAGACTGTTCTCCAATAGAACCATTGGCCAAATATCCATAGGCTACATTTGTTGATGTTAGAGGGGCAGCGGTCTCTAGTGGTCATAGGAGGAGGTCAGGTTGGGGGAACAAAACGTGACCCCCGGTGGCCCCTGGTGGCCTCCGACATGGGGCCAGCTGAATGATGTCATCCAGCGGACAGTCCACATGTCGTTCTGCAGGGTAGGGACAGACTCTGGGGGCCACGTTCAGCCTGAAAGGCTTGGAAACAACAACAACACGAGTCTGCTTGGAAACAGCAAACTTGTTGTTGTTGTTGTTGTTTACAGAACTCGTTAGTTGCTCCCCTGCTCAGTAGGTGGCGGTGTTTGGTGGGGAGGTCGCTGCAGGGCCACGGCAGTGAGATGTGGCAGAGCAGTAATATTACACTGTAGGTACCTTTGCCCACTGTGATTTTTACTGAATAATATTCCTACAGTATTTGCCATGTTATACTTGTGGTTTATAGTACTTTGTTGTAATGTAGCTGCTGGAACCAGGTTAACTTTCTACAGAAAGGAGTTTTCACCTTGCATCACTATTATAGTTACAGTATTTCTATCGTGTAAAAAGAGCCACAGAGTCATTTATCAGCTGTAGTACTAACAGCAGTGGTGGGAAGTAGATTTACTCAAGTATTGTACCCAAGAACAATTTTGAGATATCTGTATTTAAGTAAGCAGCTGGGTGGCTAGCACCGTTACTTCACAGTGAGAAGGTTCTGGGTTCGAGCCCCACCCAGGACCTTTCTGTGTGGAGTTTGCATGTTCTCCCTGTGCTTGCGTGGGTTCTTTCTGGGTACTCTGGCTTCCTCCCACAGTCCAAAGACATGCAGCTTAGGTTGATTGGTGTCTCTAAATTGCCCATAGGAGTGTGTGTGTGTGGTTGTTCGTCTATGTGTTAGCCCTGCGAAGGATTGGCGACCTGTCCAGGGTGTACTCCGCCTTTGCCCGATTGCCGGCCGGGATTGGTTCTGGTGACCCCGTCCAGGGACTAAGCGGTAGAGAATGAATGTATTTAAGTATCTCCATGTTCAGCTACTTCACACTTTGACTTCACTAGATGTCAGAGACAACCCGTGTACTTTTTACTGCACTAGATGTATTTGATATGAGTCAAACCAAACCCAGTAGAACCATCAGACTCTATTGATCCCAGTGGGAAATCCACCAGCTACCCAGCAGGATGTAAAGTACTTCACAGTATAAGTATATAAGGTAGTTACCATCAGCTCCACCTTTAGCAGCTGCAGCATTAAAGTGATGAACACAGTAATGCATCAGTCACTATGATCCAGTATCAGAGACATTACTGGGACACGGACCTTTCTGCAGGATGAGTACTGGTACTGCTGGTACTTCAGGTTTATTTGGATGCTGATACTTTTGTACCTTAAGTGACATTTTAAATGCAGGACTTTTACTTGTAGCAGATTATTTTTCCTGTATGGTAAAGTTGCTTTTACTGAAGTTATTTATCGGAGTACTTCTTCCACCACTGACTCACAGTATTTCTTTTATCACTTGTAGTACCTCTGTCATACTCGGTGTGTACTGGCTCATCTGGTGATGTTGCTATGAGACCGATGGGACCTGCTTACTCTGACCTTCCAACATGTGACAGTAATTCATCTCCTGTGGTGACTCTGCAGGCAGCATCCCATAATACTCTCACCAGGACTTGTGTCTTACGTGATACTCACTGATGATTCATCTGATGTACAGAATAGTATCAATGGGTTCTTGGTACTTTTTGGTACTTGGTACTGCATTTTGACTTCCTGGGTTTTCATTTTCACACGACACCAGCTGCATCTTATTCGCGCTGTTATACACGTTTTAAAAATCTCTCTGCTGTGTAGTTATTCTGTAAGACTGTAGTAACTGTTGTATAAATAAAGGATTAAGCTGCAGAGTTTATTCCGTGCGCCAGTGTTTTGCGCGTGGAGCTGCACTGTGCTGGTCTACTGTTTAATCTGTGGATGAATGAGAGCCCCCCCCCCAAAAAAAAATCACTGTATGTGGGAGGCATTACATCATCTCACACTAACTGGCTGCTATCACTGCAACAGAGTCGTGCACGGTCCGCCCGCTTTGTCTCTGCAGCATTTTGACTATTTTTCAATCAGTCGGTTCCACGTAAGGTCACCACGGTGGACGGTCCCTGCGTCCATCGGTCACCACATTGTGATTCTTCGTTTTCCCTTAAAAGGTTTTAATTCTAATGTTTATTATTGTTAAAGATTTATTCATATGAAACCGAGCTCAGTCACGGGAAAATTTTTTATTGTCACTTTTGATTTTGACTAAATTGTTGTATTTTAGGTGCAAAAGCGACACTTTTCCCGTCTCATCTAAAGGTAGCAAACACTGAGACGCACTTCTTTGGGATTTTTATTTGCACGTTGTTGGAACTGGTTTCTGTCAGTGTTTGTCACCTGTTCGTGCGTCTTTCTGGGCTTTTTCACCTTCTGCCATCCGGTTGTTTGGTCTGGTTTTCTCTGCCTTTATTCTTAAGTAAAACAAGAACCATTTCATCACACGCACATACACGGAGACGCGCACAGCACTTTGATTCACGGCTTCCATCAAGCACGCTCGCACTCATTCACCCAACCTCCACTCACACACACACGCCGTTGCCTGCAGTGCATCGCCGCCAGAAGCAGCGTGTTGTAGCTTCCCCTCCGCGGACACACCCACCTCCGACAAACGAGGCCATTTTCCGCGCTTAAAAACAAATTACAACCATCTGGCAACAAAAATGCACAAAACCTGTGAAACTCGTTTTTAAAATCTGTATTAAAAATAGAAAATGTACACAAAATAGTGAGGCGCCTTCCTGGTAGACGTGTGAGTGACAAATAGATTTTCTTTCTAGGTTTTACACCAATCCCGTTCATTTCTGTGTTTAATCAGACGCCTCGGTGACGCGCCGCGGCAGCGCGCCGAGCCTCGGCTCAGGCAGCTTATCACGCAACAATTAAAATAAACCATCAAGGCGATAGTGCAAACACAGCTGGAGCTGGAGAATGTGCACGTAGAAACGAAACGGCCCCGGCGCGAACGAAGCCGATCAGGGAGGAGCGGAGGCCGCGTTCAGACCAGTGAACTGCTTTGATTCTGTCTCCTTCCATGTCAGTGTGACAACATCCAGCCAACAAACGAGCCACAAACACACATTTATTTTTCTTATGTTTTATCGATTGTTTCTATTCCTAACGAGATTTCACTCCTTTCTGCCTCCTGAAGCCCCGGACTGTGAATGTCACCCCTCTCTCTAACAATAGCATCGAGGAGGATTCTGCGTCTTGAATAATTCAGCATCTCCCTCTGCTAGCAGCACACACACGCACGCAGACACACGCACACACACGGAGCAGAGTCCGCCTCCACAGCGTCGTTATGCAATGCAACACTAGAAAACCAGAAAACCATCTCCATATTTCCCTTGTTTCAGCTCAAATATTTGCAGCTTTTTATTTGCTCCGTCCAGATAAATAGACGGATCCTCGAGGCATCTTCTCCCGACGCACGTCGGTCGCTGTTGCACTAAAACCAAGCCTAATCAAAAGGACACATTTAAACATTAGTTTCTATCAAACAACGTAAAGGTGCAGCTTTTTTTTTCCACCGTGCATGAGGCGGGTGCGTGGTCGAATTTGCGCAAAGCACGTAAAGAACGAAAGCAACACTTTACATTTTAAGGCTTTTTCGCTCTTTTCGTTGTCTTGATTTTTGTTTGCGCCCCAGTAACACAAACGGGGTGTACAGCAGCTGAAATAGGCTGAAGATGAATTTAAACCCGGAGCCCAGAGAGCTGCCTGCAGCTTGGCACACTGCGGCTCCCGCACGGCCGGATGTGAACGTCTAGTTCCTGGCATGTTTATTTGAAATGAAGGGCGAACTGCAGGCATTCAAAAAGGCGTTTTTCTGTCCTGTGTACATCTACAGTAACACCCCAAATTAAAACATCTCCATCCATAAAATCTGACCCACAGAAAACCAGAACAATTGTTATTGTTGCTCTATTTTTATTTGAAAACTCAAATTAATTTAGTTTTGCAGGTGAGAAAATGCAGCAAATGTCTCCGGTCTGGGACAACAAGCGAGGTGTCGAGAGGGAGCGATGGGGGAGGAGGACACGAAGTGGCGGAGGGAGGGGGCATTCCCCTTGTTAGCGCGCACACACGCGCGTACACACACTCCTAATGTAAAGTGTAGCCCCGTTAAAACGAGCCGCTCACGTAGCTGACGGGGATAAAATACAAGTTCAAAAAACATCGTTACAATTAAAAAGGACTCGGAGCTGGTAAACCTAAAGGTCCTCATAACTAGGCAGAACATTTTCTTCTTCCCTTTGTCTGAAGTTTAATCAGAAATAAGAACAATATAAAATTGGTGAGTGAAAGCTGATACAGAAAATAAAAGTGAAGATGCCGAAGCTACCGCGGAACGGAGCGTTTAACCTTACAGCGATGTGTTTGAAATCAAAATGACGCTTGTGGTTCTACAAACAACACAAGTAGATCGATTTTCTGTGCAAAAATAAAGAAATAAAATGTCTGTCGTCCTCCTAAATCTAGAGCTGGTGGTGGCTACTCACCTATGTGCAGCGCTAGAAGCAGTGCCAGGCATTTGGAGGACCAGGTTACTCCCATCCTCTACGTCCTCCTCACCATGAGAGCACAGACTCAGAAAGTTGCAGAGCAGCTGAGGAGGAGCCGCGCATTCCCCGCGAAACACCCGCACGCCTTGTACATCCAACAGCCCGTGAGGCCTCCTCCTCCTCCTCTTCCTCCCACTCCTTCTTGTCCTACTCTTTTAATCAGTGTATTTCTTCCCTCCGTGCGCTGGTCTCTCCGTCCTGGCTCCTGATCTCTGTCGTGCTCCGCTCTGCGCCTCCCGCCTGGTTTTACGCGTCTGACAGAGAAAAAAGAGGAGAGAGAGAACGCCCCTCCTATCTCTCTCTGGCTCTCTCCCTCCCGACCTGCTCCCTACCAGGCAGTAAACTGCCCTCTGGGCCCAAAAGCCCCGGGTGTAGCCCTGCATCTGTCCGGGTGCTGTGACTGATCAGTGATTAGTTTGAAATGTAACATCAGCTCCTCCATCGTGCCCATTGTGATGAGGAGTCCGGCTGCTCTCAGGCCTGTTACGTTGATTTTCAGTTCATATGCTTTAAGATGTATTTTATCAAACTGATTTCATTTCTTTTTGTGGCAGGTAACTGTAACAGAAATCTCAGGGAAGGTTGAATTTATTAAGGTGTGATTTCTGAATGGGCCTGCACATGCCCAGGGCCCCTGGAGGCTGGGGGCCTGGTCTTCACCTGCAAAAAAAACAGGCACGCAACAGACAAAATAAGACATCAGTCAGTCACAGTGGCATTAAAAAAAACTCATCAAAATACGCAAGAACGAAAAACAGCTACCAGACGCTAATGTCCACAAAGACACAAACACCTACAAACAGATGAATAAGATTAAAAGAAAAACAGCCACAAAGAGACACCAAACAACTAACACACAACACAATGCAAACCCAGTGAAATGATACAAAATGTGGTTAAAGATGCACTGAATGATCACAAAGAAACAACAAAACACAAACATGGCTGCATGTCTCCATCCGGTGCACCAGGGGCCTTTTACATGTTTGTGCCCAGGGGCCCTTCCTGTCATGATCCGCCCAAGGTTCTGTAGATGGACCGTCTGTCCTGCTTCTCATGATCAATACATGCTACATTTACTGTCATTGATTATCAGCTGGACTGATCAGTGTGTAACATGTCAGAAAATAGTAAAGTATGCCTGAAGGCCACTGGCAGGCTTTTTTAAAGCAACATACAATCACGGGCCACTTTATTAGGTACACCCGTACCACTGTGTTCACTTCAGTGCAGCACGTCCACCTTAACATCTGTGTTTATGAAGCTCGACATGCCTCAGTTTTTGTTGACATTGTCATAAATGCATAAATTCCCTTATATGTTTATTACTGAGGTCCTGGTTAAAGGTGGTGTTGTACTGGACTGTTGTATTCAGAGGTGTCTCTATATTTTGTCCTCCCTAGCTACACACATGAGAGGGTCAGAATATTAGGAACACCTCTGAGTATATTCATCATCATCAACTTTATTTATATAGCACATTTATCCCAGCCATAGCTGCCCAAAGTGCTTAACACAGTGACACATCACAACCGTATTAAAATCAAAACACATAGAAACAACACAATAAAATACACCGGCAATAACATAATAACAATAAACAAAACAAATGACCAACATCCCCTTACAACAACCCCCACATACAGCATTAAAACAAAGTACCCCAACATGACACCGCCTCATACCGGCTCAAACGCCCAAGGGTAAAAGTGGATTTCCAAATGTCTGACGATAAAAATGCGTTTTTAAATAGACTTTAAAAGTGTCCAGTGACGAGGCCTGCCTAAGGTGGAGAGGCAATGCATTCCACAGTTTAGGGGCCCCCGCCGCAAACGCTCTGTCCACCCCAAG